GTGGGGAGGGAGAGTGGGCAGGACAGCAGGGGCAAAGCCAAAATGCGAGAAATAATTGTGTGTGTGTGTATATGTGTATATGTTAAAGATTTAATTAATTTGCCTTAAAATCCCGCCTGTAAAATAACCAGAAAACGGAGCACGAAGGGGAGGAGAGCGGCGTTGCATCTCGGCTGCTGCTGTTTGGTGGATGCCATCATTTTGCCGGAGGGGGATGCTTGGGGAGGGGGTGGGGGTCTGTGTGCTGGGAGAGGGGACCTAGAGGTGACCCCTAGTCCCCTTACCCCATCCCTCCCCACCTCATTCCTACCCCCCCACAAACCCCCCACCCAGGAGAGGGCTGAGTCCGGGCGCACTCGTGACATCAGATGTGCTGTGCATGCTCCGCTGCATGCGTGTGCGGCAGGATGGGGATGGTGACGGGGTCCGGAAGGAGGACGGGCACGTTATGAATGTCTAAACCAGCGGCTGGCTGGCAGCACAGCCTACTCCAGGCGTGCTTTTCAGCCGCCTTGTCCCCAGGCTGGCTGGCAGGGACACTGACGGCTTGTCCCTGCGTGTTCCCAGCCCAGGGTGCAGCAGCAGGGATGGGGTCCGGCCCAGGCTCTCTGGCTCACGCTTAGGAGCCGTGTTGCACAGATACAAATGGGTCAGAGATGCACGTTTTGTGAAACGGCGCTGCAGAAATAATGATCTCATTTCTGCTGTCTATAAATAAATGAAGGTGAAAGGACACATTTCCTACTCTCAGCCCTCCCGAGGCCGGATTAAGATTGCAAGCTGGCTGGCTGATGGACAGAGATCATTCGAATATTAATAGATCTTAAATTATAATTTCGCTGAGATTGGCATCTAAAAAATCGCGCTGCAAAACATACCTCTGAGGAGTTGTAATGTTAGTTATGTCGTTGTTTATGGTCAGTATTATTTTTCTGGCTGTTGAGGATGCCAAGGAGGAGGCGGTTTCCAAGGGAAATGGCTTACTTGCATGTTTTGGGTTTTAATTCTTACACCATTCGTGGTGTAAATCAGGGTTTCTGGGGGCCCAATCTCAGTCGCTGAGGCCTGTTAAAGCCCCCTATTTCTGCAGTAGGATCTTAAAATTAGTTGATGGTCGTTCTTCTTCAGCTCTTCAAAAAAACCCCTAAAGTGTGCTTGAATGTGCTGCTTAGCTGTCAGCTATTTGGAGTTTCCAGACCTATTGTTGGTCAGCCACGGGCTGCTCAGGGCATGGGGAGTGGGAAGCAGAGCGCCGAGAGAGGCAGCAGCCCCGGTTTTGCAGCCCGGTCCCGATGAGCACAGCCCGATACAGCCTCTGTGCTTGAATTTTGGCACGTCTGGGGAGTGAGCACACATTTGTGACTCCTGTGTTGTGAAAACCCTCCCTGACCTTGCACGTTTGCTGCTGCTCTCCCCAGCTGAGCCCCTCTCCCCCCCTCAGGTACCCCTTGCCAGCTCTCGCCCCATCAGAGAGGTTGGCTCTGAGCCCTGCTCTGTGAGAGATGCTGATCCTGGGGAAGAGCCTCCTGTCTCCCTGGGAAACAATCCCAGCTGCTTTCACATTTCTGTGATTGCTTGTTTTTGTGTTTGGTTTTTTTTTTCCCTGAGCTAAATGCAGTTTTTTGGTCCCACACGCTGAGGTCTGCTGCTGCTGCATCCTACCTAGGGCTTGGAAAACATCAATATATACACTTGATTTACACTGTTGGGTCTTCTCCCACCTCCCTGGTGTGATCCAATGAGCTTGAAAGAGGAAAAAATACCAATGAGGACTCAAACCTTGCTCAGTATTATATTGTCCCTTTATTGTCATCAACATGCTGTCCTCCACAGCAACCTGCAGCCCCTCCCGCCTCTTGGCCCCTCTGTTTGCAGGTGATGAGGCACCTGCTTGAGTTTGGTGCAGGGGAGGAATTAGGAGTCAAGTGGAGACTCTTCTTAGCATCTGTCCTTGGTCCATCCATCCCATTACCTGGGGTGGCCTGTCTGGGGGAGGTCCTCCCAGGAGGGACACAGGGACCATGGTGGTTAGTGCCTGTGGCTCCGTTGCCAGTGTGGGAACCAGCTCTCCTGGTTTGGCATCCTGTGCCCTGCCTCAGCCCTGATGCCTCTGTGATCACGCAGCGTTTATCAGGCCTGCTTAATTGATGTTTCCAAGTTAATTTATGAGGCGCTTAGAGATCCTTCCAAGAAGGCAGTAGCAATGCTTGGGGCCATTTGCTGTGACTCTTGGTCACAGGGCGCCTCGAAGTGATGGATGAGCTGTGGTCTGAAGACTTACAGCTCTTACCCTGGGGCTCCCTTTTATTTTGATGCCCGCGATGTCTCTCTAGCTGAGGGTGAAGGACCGTGCCGGTGCCTGGGGTGATGCTGCCCGCTCTGGTCCCCAGTATGGCTGCAGCAGGGAAGGGGATCATCCCCCAGGCAAAGCGCCGTGGCAGGGGGATGGCACTGTGGGTGCTCCCTCGTAGCTCTGGGGAGCCAGTGTCACCACAGTGCTGCTGGGGGCAGAGGTGGCTTTACCAGGCTGGGGGGGACGGGGACGGGGGTGATGGTGGCTGCCTCTGACCGCGCAGCTGGGCCTGACGGCGTTTTCCTTCCCACTGCCTCCATCAGGCGTAACCATGGAAATGGGTGGCGATGCTCTGCCTGGGCAGAAGGAGGCTGTTCTGCGCCGTGGGGCTCCCTGAGCACCCTCTCCCCCGGGCACCCATGGCCGGTGAGGGCCCCGAGCGGGGCTTGCCGGGTGTGCATGGCCGGCATTGGGCGCCGGGCCTCACGTGGTGAGCGGCAGCTGCCGTGGCCCTGCCAAAACACTCCGGCACATGGGGATGGGATCCTCCCAGGGTGCCCCCAGCCCTGCAGCCGCGGCAGAGGGGGGTCTCTTGGGGATTTTCTGCCTCTAAGCAGCCCCCAGCCCTCCTGCAGGGGGGCCCCTCTGCTCCCGTGGCACCTCCAGCTTGAATTTCCACGGGCAAACGCTGCCGGCAAGTTCAGGCCAGTGTTTTCCTGCCTCCCCAATAATTTCCTGCGGCTGCGCAAGGCTTCAGCCCGACTCGCGCAGAGACGGCTCGGGGCGGCGGAGGGGGGGGGTGGCACTGAGAGCATTTGGAAAATTACATTTAAGACGAAGAGGAAGGGGATGGGAAGGAGCTTAGCTGGCTTTGTTCTAATAGCTGTAATCACCCGAAGCGCAACCATGAGCCCTGTTGCGCTGGGTGCCGCAGCCCTGCCGCGCAGGGGGCTGGGGGACTCGGCTCTCCTCCCCGTGCCACCCCGGCTTCTGCTCCCTCTCCGATGGCAGCTTGCACTTTGTTCCTGCTTGGAACCAGTGCCCTGGCTTGGCTTTATTGCACAAAGGACTATATTTACATAAACAGGGGAAAGGTTGGTCAGAAGGTGAAGATGATGCGTCTTGAAGGGAAGCTGGTGGCTTAAATACCCCAACCTCGCCGTCTCGCCCGGCTGCTCAGCCTTGAGAGGAGGAAAAAAAAGCCGGAGTGCCATTTTAACTTTTTTTTTCCCTCTTCCGACAGTGTTTTCAGACACTGCCACCACCCACAGCGAGCAGGACCTGTGCCGAGAGGAGGAGGGGATCTCTCCAAAGTAAGCTGAGCTTTTTAAAGGCTTTCTCCTTCTTGTTTTGCTTTCCAAGAGCAGCGGAGGTGGTGGAGGTGGTGACCCCACACCAGGGGGTCTGGGGGCTCCCACTGACCCCTGCTTTTCCCTAGTGGCAGCCTTTTCTTGTTATGGGTCACCGATGGGCGCGACGGTGATTTTCTGTGCTTAATTTCCCTATTTTAATGACACAGCAAAAGGCAGCAAGTGCTTTCAGGTGGGCTCCCATGCAGCCCTGCTCGTGTACAAGGTTTATCTGTTGCACAAAGCATTTATCTATCAACAAACTGCACAGAGATCAAAGATCTTTCTACAAAATGTTAATTAAACGAATAACGGTGTGTTGTTGAGGCTTGAAGAAAGAAATGAGGCTTAGCTTTGTTAAGGAGGCGCCTGGTGGAAATATTTACGGTTGTTCCTCAAATTCCAGTTATTCCTATTTTCCCTGGGGCAAGAGGGAAAACCTGGCTGTTGCTTCAGAGTTTCTGTAACCTGTTTTTCTCGGTTGTGTGTAATGTGGGGGTTTGATGTGATCCAGCGTGATGGCGTCGGAGCGGGGAGAGGACGTGACTGGGGTGATTGGGTTCCTGCTTCACGGCATCACATACCACATACCGCCGTGAGTCTTGCAGGAAGCAGAAATAACTCTGTCTCTCGTGGCACGGAGAAATGTGGTGGTGTCGATGTGGGTGGATGGCTGGTGGGAGAGCGGGCATTGGAGATGTTTCGTTTTGTAAACGTGTGACAAAAGAGCTAGCGTTGAGGAAAGGGAGGGACCTAAATTGATCAGCGGGAGGAATTAGAGGAGATGTGTGTGTGGCAGGGTTTAATCTCTTAATGAGAAAAATATATCCCAGCTCCCTGTGGTGGGGCGAGTTCAGGGATGAGCGTGGCATTGCGTGAGAGCTCGTCCCTGCACCCCATCTCCTCCGCCTGCCGCCCCTGAGATTTGTCCAGAGGATGCTCGGGAGCTGGGATGGGGGACCTGTGATGGACAGCAAGTGTAAAACGTCTGTCTGTGGGGTAGGAGGGAAGATGTGGGGGTTGGGGATGAATTTGTCTCCGATGAGGGCTGGTGGCCAAAGAGTGCCCTGCCAGGTTGCTTCCTTCAGTCCCCAAGCCCATTAATAGGCTCTGCTCCCTTGATTAGTTGGTGCCTGTGCGGAGCGGTAATGAGCGCCGGGCTCAAGCCATCAATTCTAGGTCAGTGGTTGTGTGCTGTGCTGGGGATTTGGGATCGGGCAGGGGGAGGGGAGATGGAGCTGGACGCCTGCGAGAGGCTGCCTGCACCCAACGGTGTGATTCCTGCCCCCCCATCTGCAAAGTGCCCCAAGGGCCACGCTGTGCCCTGTCACCCTGAACATGGTTTGTACCTGTCAAGGAGGCTCATTGCCCGTTTGACGTGTGCTCTCCTGAGAGCATAACATTGCAATAATTAGATCCATTAACGAACCAGAACAAATAATAGAGTTTTAAAACTGAAAGAGAGTTTCCCATGCTCCTGAGTGGTACCCTTTGCCTCTCGCAGAGCTGCTTTCCTCTCTCCCCGACTGCAAAGATCTCATTTAGCATCACCTTGTCATTGTTTCTGGTGTTTAACCTCTGATCCTTCCCTAAATGTGGGCAGGTGAGGCCGGGCGGTGAACAGCAGCATGGACCTGGATGTGCTGAACATGTTTGTCATCGCCGGTGGCACCTTGGCCATCCCCATCCTGGCTTTCGTGGCCTCCTTCCTCCTCTGGCCCTCAGCGCTCATCCGCATCTACTACTGGTGAGTTCCTTAGCCCGGCTGCTCTCACTTTAGTGCAGGGGAGGAATTACTGCTGGTCCCCATCAGGTCCCTGCACCCTGGCACACACACGGGTGCACAAAGAGCTGCAGGCAGCAAAGTGACACAGAGGCAGGCGTTCCTGCCTGTGGTGGCAACAGAAGCAGCTCAGGTGGGGTTTTCCATGGGCATACTGGCTGTGTGTACCTTTAAGCATCTCTGGAAGAAGAAAACGGTGCTTTCTTATTGCTTTTTTTGCTGCTGAGTCTTATATCTGTCAGGGCAGCCTCACCCGGGCTGCGGGATGTCTCCAAACGTTTCTGGGTTGTTTCCCCCAAGGACGGGACTGTGGCTGGGAAAGGCATCACCGTTGCTGCCCGTCCCCCAGCCTGGCAGCCCTGGCAGCCTGGTGACCTCCTGCCCCATCAACACAGCTGTCAGCGTGGGTGTCCTCGGCTCTGCCACGTCTGCCCCGGCTCACACGCTCCCTCCCGATTAACAGCCAGCTCAGCAGGCAGGGGCTTTTCTCTCGCTGGTAGATACAGACAAGGCTTTTCTCATTCTTCCCCTTCCCTCCTGGGCTGGAGCATCAGAGAAGACGGAGTGATGCTTTTCCTTACCCCCTTTGCATCTCGTCCTTTCCAATACCAAGCAGGCACTGCATCCTTCAGTCCTCGTCTGTCCCTGGAAATCAGCGATAAGCACACTGGCGGCTTTCCTGTCTGGATTTGTTGCAGGGAAAAGCTGGAATAAGGCTCCCTTCAGAAGCCGGGGCAGTGTCTCATCCCCCAGCAGCAGCAGGCAGCACGGCAGGCTGCCCTCACGTGCTGCCGGCAGATGGTGGCCCCTGCAGTTTTGCTCACGGGGTGTTTCCAAATCAAAGGCATTAGCCCACCCCGGCACTCAGACGCAGCAGCCTGACGAAGCCTGTTTCTAACGGCGCATTTATTAGCAACCCCTTAATCACAGCATCCACGGGCTGCGGGAGGAGGGAGGGTGAGATGAAAACCCCAGTGGCTGCACCAGCACGGGGGGACAATTTCTTCCTGTTGTGCATCGCTGGGAGCTGCGAGGCCAAACGCTGCTCTGCAAAGGGGAGCAGGGGCTGTGACAGCCTCCTGCCCTGGGGACATCTGGGCTGCTGCTGCCTGGGGACAGGTCCAGATGGCACTAGGTTGGTCACTCAAAGGGTTTTTTTTTTTTTCCCTTGGACATACGAGCGGCTGGTGGAAGCCGGGAAGGACCCTGGTGGGCTCAGGGTCAGAGGAGGATCTCCAGAGGAAGGCTGCCACAACCAGAGCAGAGCGGGTACGGCCAGGGCAAAGCCTTCAGAGGGCCACAGGCAGGGATGGCAGGACAGGGCAAAGGAAGTGCAAGGGGCTGATGCCCAGAGTTTTGAGGAGCCAAGCTGAGAAGGGAGGAAAAGAAGACCCTGCTGCCCTGTCCTTTGGGGCTGAGTGAAAATGCGCTGTGGGTAGGTTGGTCTGTGTTTTATGTGAGCAGTGAACAGCAGGGCTGTTTTCTCTGGAAGGGTAAGTGCCCCCATCTCTCTTTCTTCTGGTGTTTCTGGCAGCGCTGGCATCTTGCAGGAATAACTGCGATGCTCTGTCTTTCCTGGGCACCTCTTTTCTTAGGGACAGTGGGCAAGAAGAGTGTTTGCTCTTTACTCTTCCTTTCCTATTTGCTTCTTCTTGAGTTGGCTTTTTTGGGTGAAATCATTGTGTTTCCCCATCAGCAGAGGCAGGAGAGGGGGCAGAGAGCATGCTCTGCTGTTCCCCCACCTTTGAGCCCCATGCAGCTCCAGCTTTGCAGCACCACTCCTGGAGGTCCACAGGAGGTCCCTGGGGATGCTTCTCCCACCACTCGCTGCCCCGCTCCTCCTCCTCACTGCCAGTCTGCGTGTCCTCAGCCGGCGCGGCCAAGGGTCACTCAGGGCCCCCGTCGCTGGTGGCCTGGCTCCCTCCCCTGCCACTAATGCACATCCCTGCTGGCCATGACGTCCAGGGCTGCTCCACTGACCCCAGCCCCAGAGCCTGTGGGCTCTGCCGACAGGGGTTAATCAGTTTAGCTGCGTGTTAACACCTTGCGGGGGATCAGTTCAGCTTTGCACAGATTATTTTGCCTTCTCCTGAATTGATCCATCAGGATCAGTTGCTAAAAATGTTATCATCTTGCCCATCAGTAGTTTACACCGGTGCCTTTGAGGCGAGGACTCTTAAGACACTTATTCAGGGAGAAATTCACCTCTCCTCCTAGGACCAGCACAGAGCTGAGATGCTGCTTAAGTCCCACTAACTCCCTCCAAAAAGGGATTATGCTAAAAGAGGATTGTACTATGCATAAGCTTTGAGTGGGCAGAGGGTTAGGACAGCCCAGCAGCGTTGGTGACCTTGCTCTCGTCTCAAATAAATTCTGGTATTGTGTACAAAAATATTTGCAGGTATCTTGGCCATAAGGAGTAGCCCAGTAGTTGTCCTGACAAGGGTTACGTCTGAACACAGGGGAAATCCAGTGAAAGCGTGCCTGCTCCTTCATCTTGGACCACACGTACACATCATGTGTCCAAAGGGTCACTGATAATCTCTGTCTAGGTTCCCTCTGGCTGGCAGTTTCACTGCATCCTCTTCGAGCAGGCTGCAAGTGTGTGCTGGCAGGAGCTGTCTGCCTCTCTGCTTCCAGAGGAATAACCCCGTTTCCTTGGGGTTAGCCTAGTATCTTCTGGGGTGTTTGATCCAGTGTAAGGATGGTCCCCTCCAGTCCTTTATGTGTGTATAAATACATTTTTAAAGATCATCATATAAGGCATATGGGAACTGGGTTTCTGCGGTGCTCCTGGCGACATGCTTGTTTTGGGTGGGATCTGATGTACTTCTCCGTGGGGTGATGCTGTCCCATGGCTGCAGGGCTGTGCCCAAATAAACCCATGACAGATCCACCTTACCCACCTGGAACATGTGCCTCCCTCGGCCTGCCCATCCGGCACGTTTCCTTGCCATGTGTGCTGCCTTCCTCTCCGGAGCCTCTCTCCTCATACCAACCTTTGGGCGTTTTCAGCTTTAGCATTGTTATTTTGGCCCATTTCCATTGACTTGAGGGAATTGGGCAAATTAGTTATTTTGGGCATTTGTTTGAAGTTTTTAACAAACAGATTGTCTCCACAAGCCATCTCCAGGGCAGCCATGAATAGCCCGTGGCTGATACTACACGTGTAAAGGATCACGTGTAAGCACAGGGTCTGGTCCAGGGACCAGATGCTCAGAATTAGTCCCAGTTAGGGCTATGACAGCACTGGCATGAGCCCAGTCTAACCAGCCTTAGCAAACTAGCAAATCTGCAGCTGAGTTTGGACCTGGCACCTGGCTTATGTTGCTGCTGGGCCCTGGTCTTGCCTCACTCACTGGTGTTGTGTTCTCCTTGTTTCCAGGTACTGGCGCCGAGCCTTGGGTATGCAGGTTAGATACGCAAACTACGATGACTATCAGTTCTGTTATTCCTATAGAGGAAGACCTGGATACCGACCATCCATCCTGATGTTACATGGGTTCTCAGCCCACAAAGACATGTGGTTGTCCATAGTCAAGGTGGGATTCCATTTCTCTCATGTCACTTCTTAGCAAGATTCAGTGGTCCTGGGCTTGGGGGTGGTGTGGGGACCCAATGGTTTCATGCATGGGCTGTGATGGTGGCTGCAATGTGCTAGAAACACCCTCCCCAGCTCTGTGCTGGTTGCTTGTTGGATGCCTTTCATCCATGTGACACACAGAGCTGCAGGGGAGAGTGGTGTGTACCTGCCTCCTGCATGGGAAGCAAGTCTTGGCTGTGGTTTCTCATCATGCCATCCTTAGTACATGAGCTGACTTATCATGGTGCATGAGTAACCAGGGGCTTCTAGGAGGAGAGTGAACCCCTCTACTCCCACCTGTGATGACCAGTTTCCATCCCTGGGCTTTTCAGCAGCTCACCTGTGCCATAACCACCCTGGTTTGTTTCCACAGTTCCTGCCCAAGAACCTGCACTTGGTGTGCGTTGACATGCCCGGGCACGAGGGCACGACCCGCTCGGCCTTGGACGATTACTCCATTAGTGGGCAAGCTAAGAGAATACACCAGGTAATGCCCCAGCATCTCACCACCTCTGCAGAGGGACGTGGGGATGTGAGGGATCCTCAGTGCCTCATGTGGCCCCACTCCCACCCATAGTCCTTCCTGGGCAGCCAGAGCCACCGACCTCAGGCTTTGTTGAATTTCTCTAATGACCCCATGCTGTTGCTTCCTCTCCCCTAACAACGCTCCTTCTGCTCCCCTGCCAGTTCGTGGAGTGCATCAAGCTGAACAGAAGGCCCTTTCATCTGGTTGGCACTTCCATGGGGGGAAACGTAGCTGGCGTCTATGCTGCTCAGTACCCAGAAGACATTTGCAGCCTGACTCTCATCTGTCCTGCAGGTGGGCAATGTGTGGGGGGTGAGACGGGGAGAGGGTGAGCAGGAGCTGGTGTGAAAGCCCAGAGCAGCTCTGGGAGCAAAATAGGCTTTCAGTGCAAAAAATTTTGAAATACTTTGTTTGTACAGTCTGAAAATCTCTGGCAGGGCATGGGAGGAATTCACTGCCTTGTCCTGACTGCTCTTCTCCAGGGCTTTGGAATTTGCTGTGCTGTGGTTAGAGCTGGGACTAGGGCAGATGGGACAAGACCTGCTCTGGAAGAAAATGTGTTTTCCCTTGGTGTGGCAGCCATTTTTTGGGGCACATCCATAACCTTTCTGTTCTGGAGGGGTAACCCAGGCAGCAGTGGGAAAAGCCTCCCCAGTCTGGCCACTTGAGACCCGCAGTGTGCCAGAGGGCTGGGGCTTCGGGAGCCGGAGGGCCCCATCCTCCCACATTTGAGTGCTCCCGAGTGGGAAGAGCACTTTGGGGCTGGGTGTGCATCAGTGAGGTGTCCCTGTGCCCACACTGCACCCCTCCATCCCCACCGTCCTGTCCATCCCCACTGTCCCCTGGCTGGGGGCTCAGGGGAGCCTGGGCATGACACGCTGCAGGAGGCACCGGGGTTTGGGCTGGATGCTTCTCTGCCAGGGAGGGATTTGCTGCATCCTGGTTGTTATAGCAGCTCCTTCCCCCTCCCACACAAGGAAAGCAGCTCCCAGATAAGAACTAAGTAATGAAGCAGAGGAACGTTACCTAGCTACCAGGCTCTGGGGGCGGCAAGGTCCCCGCTCCTCTCTGGGAGGGATGTTGCTGGCTCTCCCGCTGCCTCTGGGTGTGAAACCTCTGCCTGGAGCTGCAGGGAGGTTTGGGGTTAAGCTGCTGGGGGGTTTTTCCCCTGCAGTGGTGCAGCCCGGACAGGGCTTCTGAAATTTTCTGTGGCAGGCTGGCCACGGGCATCAGTATTTGCATTCACTGCCCACGTAAACATAAGCACTGTAGTTTTTGTCAAAATATTCACGCCTGTCTGCAGGGAATACACCTCGTGTGTGTCAGCCCATGGGGCTCGGTGGTGTCAGGAGGGAGGTCGGGGTGTCTCTGGGTACATATTGAACTTTCTATATGCGCAGATTTTTTTCTTCCTGCCTCTTTTCTTTCTTTTTTTTTTAATGCATTACCAAGTGGGAGGCCAGAGGCAGGCATGGGGGAGGTTGGCATGGCGATGCTCAGCTCTCATCTGGGTTTTAGCTTGTGTCCCCCTTCTCGTTCGACCCAGGCCTGCCAAGCACCACAGACAGCAAGTTCATCAAGCAGCTCCGGGAGCGGCCAGAGGCAGGCATGGGGGAGGTTGGCATGGCGATGCTCAGCTCTCATCTGGGTTTTAGCTTGTGTCCCCCTTCTCGTTCGACCCAGGCCTGCCAAGCACCACAGACAGCAAGTTCATCAAGCAGCTCCGGGAGCTGCAAGAGTCTGAACGCATCGACAGGATCCCTTTAATTCCTTCCACGCCTGAGGAGATGGCAGACATGCTGAAGCTCTGCTCCTACGTCCGCTTCAAGGTGCCGCAGCAGGTAAGGAGCCTGGGCTGGCTGCGGTGGCCGGGAAAGGGGACCACCTCAGAGGCAAGGACCAGGTTTGCTTCTCCCCCAGCCTGCCTGCTGGCAGCCAAGGCGATGCCAGGAGCAGAGCTGGCACTGCCATAGCCCCCGTCTCACAGGCGGGACACCCCCAGCCCAGCTCCCAGCACCTCCCACCACTCTCCCTTCAAACACACTTTTCCCAGCTCTGTCTGACAAGGCCCGCTGACATTTCTCCTCCCACAAGATCTTTGGCAGCAGGCTGGGACGTTGAAGGGCTTTTTAGTAAATATGGCTGGCAGGAAGCATTAGATAACTAACTAAGGCGGCTGTTGTCCGGTCTAGAAGGGGATTGTTTGCTGCTTTTTAAGCAAAAGCGATGGAAATGTTAATCACCTCATTGTCAGGCGAGAGGAACTTGGCAAGGGGCTGGCCATTAAGTCAGCTTTCCTTAGGAAGTCTGGGATGAGTAGATTGGAGAGCAAGAAAAAAAATGTAAGGTAATGCCAAGACCTGTTTTTTTTTTTTAACAAAAGAATAAAAAAAGGAAGAAAAGCACAGTCATGGCTGAGGCAGCCTGCTGGCTGTGAATAGCTGGCCTGGGGGAGAAAATGGGGTTGGCATCATAAAAGACATAAATACTTGTTGCTGAAATACATGTTACTTAAGCACAGTTGCGACAGCCAGATGTGCTTAGGAAGGAGCTCGTGCTGGGGCCAGGCTGCGCAGGGCATGTCGGGGTGGTGCCAGTGTCCCCCCCAACAGCTCTCCTCTGCTCTCCCTGCAGATCCTCCAGGGCCTCGTTGACGTTCGCATCCCACACAATGATTTTTATCGGAAACGTAAGTCTTGCCAGGCTTTCCAGCTGGACCACTGGGGCGTGGGGATGGGCTGTCCCCGGCCTCGTGTCCCGGGCTGCCAATTGTCCCCTGCACCCCCCTGCTGCCTTGCTGAGGGTGGAAGGGGGCAACACCACTGACAGGTTTGGGGATACACCTTGGTCACTGTTAGCAACCCCCTGCCACAACCTTGGGTGATGGGATTGCTGCTTCGCCCTCATCCGACCAGCTGGGTTAATTAGTACTAATATCTATAAGGAGATGGGCTTGGAGGAGGATCTCTCTGCAGAGGGGGTTGGTGGCAATGCAGGACTCAGCCCGTGCAAGGACAGCCTGTCGGGGTTCTCTGCGTTGCCCCTGCCTTGGTTTCCCACTGAGGGGACAACTGGCAGGGCTGGCCCACAGTGACCCCTGTGAGAAGGGAAAGCAAAGCATCCCCCCTGCAGGACTGATTCTCCTCTTCCTCCCACTAGTGTTTCTAGAAATTGTGGATGAAAAGTCCAGGCACTCTCTCCACGAGAACATGAGCAAGATCAAAGCACCGACGCAGGTCATCTGGGGAAAGCAGGACCAGGTATGTGGACCCTCCACCTCCACTATCAGACCATGTCTCCATCTTTACCCACGTCCACCCATGGGGCATGGCACAGGCCATGCTGCTGAGCTGTGTGCTGCTCCAGCAGAGAGCTGGCACACGTGTGTCCCTGCCCTCAGTGGGTTTGATTATGGGGCATGGCAGGATGATGGGCATAAAGGTGCCAGCCGGTGTGGGCTAGAGGGATGAGAGGGCAGAGCTGGGGCAGGGGAGGGTGAGGGGACAAGTGCCAGCCATGACATGTGTGAGCCAGGAAGAGGAATAAAGTGCCAGCAAAGAGTTATCCTGGCACCTGGAGAGAGATAAGCTGTCTGAGGGCAGGTGGGGAGCAAAGGCGTGGGACTTCTCTCTCTTGTTTGGTGTTTCTGTGCAGGGCTGGTTACAGAGAGAGGAGTGGGAGGAGGAAGGAGGCAAGAGGCAAGCTGCAGGCGTGCAAAGGGCTGTGCAAATGCAAAGGTGCAAGCATTTGCTTGTAATGACCCCTTTGCATTGAGCTTGGCAGCCAAAAAACATCCAGGGGAGTTCGCTGTTGCATGCTGAGATCTGCACTGTGCAGCCTCCCCCCTGTCCTGTCCCTGGGTGCGGGTACCACAGGATGGGGCTGGCATCACAAGGGCTCTGCCCGCATCCCTGCTCAGCATCTCGCTTGGACTCGCAAAGGCAGCTCCAGTGGGGTTTCTATGGTGGCCAGCAAAGCCTAGTTCTGCCCGTGACTATTTTTTCCCCTTCCTTCCAGGTCCTGGATGTTTCCGGCGCCAGTGTTTTAGCCAGCGCTATCCCGGACTGCCACGTCTACATCCTGGAGAACTGCGGGCACTCGGTGGTGGTGGAGCGGCCCCGCAAGACGGCCAACCTCATCCTGGAGTTCCTGGCGCTGCTGCACAGCATGGACAACAACAAGAAGCAGGCATGAGCGTGGCAGGGAGCCGAGCGCCCACGCCGGGTCTTTTAAATTGTAAAGTACTGCAGCTTTGATAAGTTCTCAGGGATCTTGTACGAATCGGGGTGAATGTGCCAAAGTCCCTGAAGAAAGCAGAATCACTGATACCTAAACCTATAGCACCGCCGGCACAGCGACCTAGGGGTCATTGGGCAACCTCCATAGATACAGGAACGGAAGCAGAAACTCCACCTTTTCTACTTAGAGATAAAGTAGAAACGAGCTGAAATCACCAAGCACTAGCCATGCCGTGTGCTGAAGCTCCTTATGCAGCCACCCATCTTACCCGAGTTACTGGCACGTAGTTGTTAATGACATTTACCTAAACTATGTAAGAAGCTTAGGAAGGAGGAAGCGTCCTGGACTGAGACTTAGACTATTTCTACTCCTTAGAGTCCGTCGCGTTGCATGCTGCCGTGCTGTAAGAGAAACCCCAGTGCTCCAGGCGTCCGCTCGAGTGCTTTTTGTGTAGCTCCTTAACTCGTGATTGATGCAGAAAGCGACAGCAAACTCCATGCGTGGAAGTCCGATGACTGTATGTGCAAAAATGTTTACACTTTGAGTGGGTTTTTTTTCGAAATCCCCAAACAGCTCCTGTGTATATGTGATGCCTTAACATTGCCCAGGGTACGGCACCTGCGCACAGCCTGCCTTGCCCGGGGGATGGTTCCCCCGGGGGTGAACATAGCGAGTGAAGACTCGGGGTGCAAACAGCAGCTTCGCCGTCGTGTGAACCGGAGGGATGGAAACCCCCCAGGGGGATTTGGTCCCTGCACCCGAGTCAGCAATAAGCCCGTGGGCAGGGTGCGAGTCAGCGAACTCGGGCCACCTCTTGTCTCAGCTCCTCTATCCCATCGCGCTGCTGAACACCTTGATGTAAATAACGATCTTCTTAATGAATTCCGTGAATTCTGCAAATGCCGATGTCACCGAAACCGGGCGTGATGGGCGGGAGCGGGCTGTGTGTGTGGGTAGTGCAGGGGATGGGGGGTCCTGGGGTCACTGGATGGTGAGGCGGGGGGGGACGATGGACAGTTCAGCTGCGGGGCTCTGGGAGGTGGCGTGGAAAGGTACAGTGGGCTTGTACATTCTCTCGGTGATTATAACTCCTGACTGAGTGAAATTAGAGATGGAATGGGGCAACGCAGACAAGCTAATGCTTTACAGCCTGCAAGGTGGTGCCTGGGGATGGATCCTGCCCCTCCCTGGGTGCGATGCCTGGCTGCGTGTCCCAGGGGGAGAGGGCTGGTCCTGGTCCTGGTCCTGGCAGAACCCATGGCTGCTGGAGGGCAAGGTGGTGCGTAGTCCTCTGGGAGGCAAAGTGCAGGCGGCCGTCACCACTGGGTCACCCCTGGCCCTCCGGGGGGGTTGACACCCGGGGGGTGCTGCCGGAGCCCCCGCGCAGAGCGGGTGTGCGCTCCGGAGGTGCTGACAGCCATCGTCCCGCCATCTTTCTGAGATACCCCCACCTGTACATATATATCTGAAACCCCCCGTCAGCTTCTCTCTGCTCTTTTTAAGAGAAGAAACATCATTCTTTTAGAAAATTAGAAATTTGCTGTTAATTGCTTGGTTATTGTTTCTACTACAGGAGTTAATTTAAAAAAAAAAAAAAAAAGCTGATAGTTTTATGTGGTAAAAGCCAGAAAAAGTTGTTGGGTATCTATATGGTTTCTCATATGCCACAGATTGCTGTACACAAAGGATTTATATGGCTATTAAAATCTAGTGATTCAAGGAGTCCACTGTGCAATGATTATTTTTTCCTTTGAGGAAGAAGGGGACTGTGGTGTGGGATGATGCTCGGCACAGGGGACTTGCTCTGCTGCTTCTTCCCTCCCCACGTTTCTGGGAGATGCAGGTTTTGCCTCGAGGAATATTTGTTAATGTCAAGAGAGATGGTGAAGATGGGGGGAGCTGGACTCTCATCTCTTCAAAGACAATACAAATTTTGCTTTTTTGCTTTTATTAAGAGGAGGTGCCCTAAACTCTCAAGAAGCAAAATAAAATCTCAAGAGGCAGGGGACTTAGGTTTTAAGTGCTGAGATTCCTCTTAAAACTCCTGAAGGTGTGTTAAATACCAATTTCAGCTGCAATTACAAGTCTTACTGAATTCACACAGTGTGCTGGGAATACCATTACATCAATATCCAGGCAAGAGTATTTGCATTTCTCCTTTCCCCAGCAGGCTGATGAGGCCCAGCAGCTGCTTTGTTTGACAGAGGAGCTGCCAGAAGGGCTGGGGAGCATCCTCCTGGCACCCCATTCCCCTGCCCGGGCCCTGCCATGGCATCCTGGCCCCATTGCTACAGCAATGTGTGGGTCGAGGTGACGGTGGCTGCAGGAAACCCATTAATTACTGCAGCGCAGGGGGACGGAAGGGGGCTTCTCGCCTGCAGGCACAGGCTGGGGTTGCTCAGGGATTCTGCATCACACATTGCAGCCTCTCATGGTTCAACAATAAAAATCCCCAGGGGATTTTTGGGGAGGGGGGTCTGGGTGCTGACCCACAGCTCGCTCTGGCTGCAGCCCACTGCCCCAGCTGGCCCCGAGGCAGCAGCTGAGCCCCCTGAGGAGCAGCAGGGAGGGGAGCTGCCTGCACCTGGGAAGCACACCTGAAAGCACACCCAGTAACACCAGCTGCTATTCCCAGTAATCTTCATTTCCTGCTGGGAGCCACAAAAGCCCTATGCCATGCAAGGGCTGCTCCCACATTTTCAGCTGCTGCCCCCTTGGCATGGAGCCCCCTGTGGAACCCAGCCACCCCCCAGGTAAGGCTGCGTTCCTGGGCTGGTGTGGGGCTCGGGAAGGGGCAGAGGCTCCTGCTGGGTTTGTCTGTCCTGTGGGCAGAGCTGGGGGAACCACATGGAAACCTTTGGACCCCAGTCGCGGCAAGCCGGGGCACTGGGGACCTTCATGTAGCTGAGCATCCTGGCATGGCAGGAGGAAGGAGTTCACCTTTTGTTTTGTTGTCTGGTGTTTAAACGTTGCTTTCCTTGTAATTATGTGAATAAGCCAGGTTTGTGCTGGGGCTGGGCTGGGTGGCAAGGCTCGTGGGGGCAGAAGTTCATATAAAAGCTAAGTAAGGAGTCAGCCCTTGGTTGTTACGGGTCTTGCCGAGGCTGAATCACTGTATCCTGAGAAGGGGTTGCAAAACACAGCAGGGCTGGCTCATTAATAAACTTAATGATGCCCCCGAGCAGTGCTTGTTGCCCGGCTCCTGGGGTGTTACTGGGAGGAGGAGGGACAGAGCTGGTGGCATCTGCTCCTGGGCACTCAGTATGTGCCCAGCTGCTGCCGCAGAGGAAAATGCGATGCCCTCAGAACATGGGTGACCAGGGTTGGGTCCTGCTCCACACAGCTGCAGCCAGATGTTTGTCTGCAGTGGGGAAACATCTTTCTCCCTTTTTTCCAGCAAAGGAGAATAAAAGCACCTGCTGCCTTGTGGGGGAGTTCCACCAGTGCAGCCCCACACAGAGCATCCTCTGACAGGTAGAGGGATGCTCGGGGTGTTCTGGCACTGTGCTTTGGGTGCTGCTGTGGGTGTCCCTCACCCCAGGAGCCCGTCACCCAGCTGAACCTTCCCCTGATTCAATGCGTTTCACAATCCTCTTGGACACAAACCGTGTTTTTCCCACGGAAGCCTGGATGAGAGCATCCCAGGGCACAGCCCCTCTCACCCACTGAGGGTGTCCCCACACACCGGGGCACAGCAGAGGCACGTGTTCCCCGTTACACCTGCAGCAGCCCCGTGGCACGGTGAGGGTGCCCCTGCCTAGACCCTCCAGCTGAGACTTAGGCGAATGCATGGAAAATACATAGGATCTGATTGGGGGTGTTTGGTTTTGGTTGTTTTTTCTTCTGGGAGGCCCTTTTCTGAGCACCAGCCTCTTGGGGGCGGTTTGGGATTATTCATTGAGCACTTGCTGGGTCACTGGTTCTGGGAGGCTGCTCCTGCCATTCCCTGCCCAACAGCGCTGCCTGCCTGCTGCCTCCTGCCCACTGCTTGACACACAGACACTGAGCCTTGATTTTCCTTCCTTACAGAAAACCTTTGTCTTCAGCCATCTCAACAGGGTCACTGCCTTTTTTTTTTTTTTTTTTTTTTTTTTTTATTTTAGTCTGTAATATTTTTACTGGAACTAACTTGGATTGTTTAGTGAAGTTGTTTAGGTTGTCTTATTATTATTACTTTAACTCCTTATTTTAAACCTTCCGTATAACAACTCCAGTACTTTTATTGTCTCTGT